GTGGCCGGGCCTGGAGGGAGCGGGCGCGGCCGCCGGGGGCTCCTCCCCGTCCTGCGGCTGTCGCGCGGCCTGTGGTTTCGTGTCCGTGTGGTTTCGTTTCTGTTCTGTTTCTTCACAGGAAGAGGTTTAAACATGAAGGCGAACCTTCTAGGTGTCAGCATGGCTACCACAGAGCAAAGCTGCCTTTTTTTCTGTTCTCTGCTTCCATTCGGGCCTGTCACATAACTTAAGAAACAGTAAAACTTCACCGCAGGAGCTCTAACCGTAGTGTGAAAACCCCTGATCGATTTTGTTTTCGCAGCACGATATTATCAAAGATTTAAGAAACCCTTTTGCCAGCATCGGCGAGAACTCTCTGGTAACGGCGTTGTCTGTGTCGGTTGCTTTGGTTCAAAGGTTTCCTTTTCGTTTGTTTGAGCCCATTCGCCCCCTTTCAGTTTACTTTGGTTTTCATACTCTGTAAGCAGCAAGCCTTCATTTTTCAAACCTCTTCCATCTTCCAGTGTCTGTTTCCGTACTTTGGATGGAAAGTTTATGGCAGCAAAGTGGCCCCTTGCTGCGGCTCCTGCTCTGCGGTCACCTTGTTTTGGCCGTTGTGCTCACGGACATGACGCTGACATGTCCCATGACTGAGCTTCCCCGCGCCACCGCGGGCTCGCTGTCACAGGGCTCTATGCAACTGCATTCTGCGACTTGTGCTGCTTCGTCCCGTCTCGGTTCTCCAGCGAGCTGACAGCTCAAGTGGACGCTCCTTCCGGCCTGGAACCTGCTGTGCCTTTATATTTTCTCTTTATTTTTTCTTCTTTATGTTTTCGGTGGTAGTTTGAGTGGAACAGAGCAAACTCCAGCCATTGCCTCAGCAGCACCATGCAGTGTGTTTGTTGCCGCCAGAGAGTACAAAATATAAAGGCACATGGCTTCTTTATTCCTTGGGGCACTGGGGAGATCTGTCTCATAAGTCCGCTACTTAGTGGAAGCCCACTTTTTATCCATATCAGCTTTCAATTTTGCTTAAACTCCAACCCGTCTCAGCCAGCGTTTCTCGGTCACTCAGTGATACCTTGCCACTCGAGCCATTTGCTGAGCAGTATCAAGTTATGGCCATGACACGGAGACTGTTCAAAACGGGACAAACATGCACAAATGTACAATTCAGAACGTGCAAGTTTCGATGGCGACGTGCAGCCACTTCGAAACTATGCTGCAGGCTTGGGACTGATCAAGTCATTAAAATTGAACAAGTCCATCCTGATAAACAGTTGAAATAAAACCGAGTCCAATATGTGAACCTCTGTATAATAACAATGTTGGTGTTGAAATGGTCCATAATGTTGTCATAGAGCCCATACATGGAGAGGTGACTAAAATGTGGTTTTAGACAGCTGCCCTGCTGACTGACCGCCACAACTTAAATGGTTGGGATTTGTGTTCAGGAAAAAGAAATGGAGAAGCAAAAGCTTCTGTACCAGCAAGCCCGGCTGCACGAGCGCGGCGCCGCCGAGATGGTGCTGCAGACCATCAGCGCCAGCAAAGGTGAGCCCGCGAGGCCTCGCTGCACCCCCTCCCCACCCCCTCTCCCCG